CCCACACCCACACCCACACCCCCACACACACCCACACACACACACACTCACTCGCACGGCGATAATATGGTGTGCAACAGCGTCCATGGAAAGTCTTTCTTGGGACATGCATAAGTATTTCTCAGCCAAGACTCGAATGCGGCTTCACATCACAAGCCGTTGCAGTGGCTAGAGGAGCTCAAACTCCTGATCAAAACATTCAAGAACAGATCCCCGCATGGAACCGATGATCGAAATTACAAAGCAAAAACCAAACTCGGAACGTCGGGGCTCCCCGTCAGCAGCCCGAACCACAGGTCCAGGCCCAACCTCGGCCAGGCATAGATGGCTCCTACACAAGGAACACGGGAATACACACATGCACGAACCGAAGCATTCACCCAATTCTGAATGAAGTCTGCCATGGTACCGGTGCCGGAATCGGTCTGGTGAGGAAGACATCGCGGGGCTGCAGGGATTGAATGAGGCTTCCGAATGTAATCATGGCACAATCGAACAATCTAACTAGTGGAATGACTCGGACTCTGACGAAAGGGAGCCTGGCCTCGAACATCATCGCGACAACCCGCCTCCGCTTCGTGAGGCCACCAGGCCGTGGACCCGGAATCAGGACCTCGTCGAGGTCCTGGCCGCATCGAAATCATGGCCAGGGCGAAATCAACACAGTACCGATGGCCGTCCTGGTCCACCAAGTTTTTGCATAACCGCTCCAGAATATCTGAAATGTTTCGAGCATCCAAGTCGCTCCGTCGGTGCCGCAAAAGGATAAGATCCGTCACCTCAAAAGTGGTCTGATTTGAGCACTCTGCTTCTAATGTACCCCGCCTCTCATATTTACGAGTCAAGTGGCTGCGTAAATGAAAGACCCCGTGAGCCCGCGGACAAAGGAACCTTCTGGTATGTCGGGGTTCAGCATGCGAAACCTCAGCTATTTTGCCGGGGACAGGAACCACAATGCGGAATCGAGCGAAATCAAACCGACTGGCTAGGTTAGACTTCATAACGAGCGGCATCGGCCTCAGCCTGTTGGCCATGTACTTCAAGCAGCGGATCAGCAGCTTGTCATTGCCATACAGCACTGCTGGTGACCTCGAACAATCGACAACAACAACAACAGCAGCAACA